CAAAATTAATTTTTGCAATTCTTTGCACACACAAACTTGCACATAAAAATTAAAAATGATAAATAATAAATAAATACTGAATAAACTCATAAGTAGTATGTATATACAAGCATGTCTACATAATGAGTCTAAATAAAAGCAAAGTTCTATACAAAGTCAAAATAAAAAAAAAGCACAGGAACAAACTACGGCGCCGGGGGACGTACACCCATCATCTCATAGAACTGCGCCGTACGAGGAGTAACCTCTCCACTAACTCTAGCTCCAGCTCCGGTCTCCTCGGGAGGTGGAAAACTTAGCACAGGACCCATCCACCCAAGATCAACCTGAGGCTGAGGTAGCCTCTCCCTAGCCTACCGGCGCAGCATGTGCACTCTCAGATGAAGAGCCTGAGCCCTCTACCGCCTCGGTGCGGGCAGCCTCAGAACGACCACCCCGAACGCCAGAACCAGTACGGGGACGTCTCGAGTTAGACCTCGCCGGCTCTCTCCGCACCTCGGGTCTCGCACGGGTACGATAAGGAATGGTCTGACCCTGCAAAAGAAATTAAAATCAGAAACAAGCAAAATAGAAGCAGTAAGGCAAATAAAGAAGGGAAACTACCTTCTGAACGGCGTCGTCGCAACGACATGTAGCCACATTCCTCATACGAACAAGCTGGCTCCGGAAAGCATCTATGCACCGTGCCATCGCCGTGACCACCTCGCGTGAGAACTGTCAAAGAAGTAAAGTTAGTAATGATGCATAACATATATGGACAAAGGTTGCAAATAAGTAAGCTTACCCGAGTCTGGTGACGAGGGATCGACCGCTCCACGAAGCGCTCAACCTCGGGAGCCGGAGGAATCATCTCCTCAATCGGCCCGTATGTCACCTGATAGTGGATGGACATACGAGGCGGTACGAACTCAGTAGGTCCAGCTTGACAAGAGAAAATCAAAGTCAGTAAAGCATTACTTTGGGGCTACTTAACGAAAGGTAAAAGCTGAAAATCATACCGCCACCTCCTCAACCAGTACAAGGACTGGAGCTAACAACGGCAGTAGCTCCTCCTCATAGCACCGCCCAGGGATCGTGTAATATTGCCAAAGGGGTACCTGCTCCCTCTGACATGGTCACCAACCTCGCACCATTGAACATATGACGCGGTGGAGGAGTGGAAACGACAAAAGTGTCCGAGGAATGCTGAATAGCAACCCTCTCTCCAAGATACGCAATCGCTCCATATGTCCCCAAGAAGTAGCGACGCTCAGCAGTATACTGCGCGGATAACCCAGGGATAACCAAGTCGACCCATGGCCGGTACAACACGTCAGGCTACTATAAAGAACGCCTATCAGATAAGAATCTATCGAAGGTATTACAAAGTGTTCAAATACGTAAAGAACCATACTGAGATGATCCAATCTCGGACATAAGCAGTGGACATCCCAACACGGCGGCTTCCCCAGGAAGCAATCACTGGAAACCTGCGCGGCGACGGTCTTGCCAGCGCAACTGAGGGAAAGTACTCGTAGAACCAGATCTACAAAAGGCAAAAAATATCAGCAAGTGCTAACTAAAACTTAGAGTTAAACTTTATGGGAGATTAAGTATACCTCTACGACCCTCGAAAAGCCTGATAGAGCGACGTTCCCTGTGAAGGACCGGTTTCGACACGAGTCCGGTAACGCTCGAATGAAGTCACCATAGGCCAAGCTGGCCCAATCATAAGTCCCGATCAAGTGTAGATCACGAACTGCAGGCAGGAAGTAAAGCAGCACTGTACTACCTTTGTCATGGGTGAACGTACATGACAGCAAGATAAGTACAAAGATGCGCACCCGCTGCTCTCGGGTGGTTGCATCATCATCAAAAGCTGCTGCTAGTGTCGAACGGCGAATCCCCTTCGCGCTGAACTGAGTCGACTCTACCTCAGCACGAGCCTGAACAGCAATCGGACCCAAGAGCTCCTCGACCTCAGGGGAAAATACGTTGATCTCGTTGTCAAACGACAGCGCAACAGAGCTAAACTCCGGTCCTGTAATGAGACTGAAGTCGGCCGGGGTGACCATCATCTCACCCCAAGGAAAGTGGAAAGTGTTGGTGGTGTCCCAAAAGAACTCCACCAGAGCACGAACCACATGGTGACCCCCGCTAGAGGCAATCATAGCTCTGAGGTCTCGAAAAGTGCAGTCAGTCCGCAAGACTCCCAGAGAAGTCTCGCCTCTCCGTCATTGCCAATGTACAACTTGTATAGGTCGCCCAAGGTATCACAACCTGAACTATGACAGCGCGTCCTACCAACTGTGATTCTCCGTCGCACCCTCTCAGAAATGTAGTGGACAGGAGAGAAGTACAGAGCCCTCTCATCCCACTCAGGGAGTCGGTCGAGAGAAGTAGACGGATCGGCGTCGTCCTCTACGGGCTCGTGCTCCCGTCGAACGTCTCGGGACCATGAACCCGAACCTTGCTTTCTAGTCATGCTACATTGTGCAGAATTATCATAAATTAAGGCTCTATAGTATCTAAGGTTCGCCTAGCCGCATGATACTATGTTCGCAAAAACAAAAAAAAAAAAAAAAAAAAAAACCAGAGTACGTAGTACTAAAACAGAGCACAAATTCAAATTGAACATATACGACATTTTTCAAGCATTCAAAAAATTTCTTGCAATACTATAGTAATTATTCTGAAAAATTGGACAAGAATTTCTAGCAAAAACGTCAAGAACAAGCCACATTGTCTTCCGACCTTGAGAGATCCAACAATGGTGATTTGTTCATTTCTTCACCAAATTAAGTCAAACAAGTCTCAAATTACTCCCAAAGAAATATATAAACATAATCAAGCAATTTCATGGCATAAAATTCGATAAACAAAGAGAATTAAGCAATTTAAGTTTTGAATTTTCAAGAAATTCGTGAACAAACTTGTGCAAAATTCATTAAAACCGACGTGAGTTTGGAGAAAACTTACATAGATCGGGAAAATGGATGGAATAAGCTTTGATTTGCAACAAATTTGAGTGAATTAGGTTAAGAAACGAGCAAGAACGAGTGAATTGAAGTTCTGAGTGATTCTCGAGTGAAAATACGAGCAGCAGCAGCGGAAATGAAGAAGAGAAGGGTATTTATAGAAAACCCAACTCTAGCGCCAAGCGACATACCTTAGCGCAAGTCGATAAGGCTTAGCGCCTGGCGCTATTGCCAGCGGCTGGCGCTACAGCCAAATATGCGGCGCTAGCAATATTTCAGCTGCGATAGACTGTTCAGCCACTCAGTGGAGCTGTTCCAACCTCTTGCAATATATTTTGGGTTCCTTGGTACGCCAGTTAGCCCCTCTAAGTAATTTGACAAGATTTTAGTAATTGTCTTGATTACAACCGCACATAAAGTGATCGACCTGATGAATGATCGTCTCACTTAGCTTAAAGCGCCTAAGCATTGGCTCATCGCAAAGCACCGACATTTCTTTCCTCTTCTCTCTGTTTTTGAAAACCTATTTTAAGAAAACATCCAATCCAGTTTGGTTGGTCCATGATATGGGTCCAATAATAGATAGTTGGATGGGGCTTGAAAAGAGCTTTCCAATGATATATTATAAGCCCAATTTTGATGAATTTTAAGGATGTTATGGCCAAATTACTAAACTAGGCCCGGTTTGAGCCTTATGTGCGGCCCAATGATCTAGGGGATGGCCTAATACGATTTTATCCTCCTGTACGGTTAAATTTTATCTGAATTTTAGAAAACGCGTAAAAGATTGATTAGCGCTTAAAGCCAGACATTAGCGCCTGGCGCTAGCATTAGTGTCTGACGCTAATGTCAGTGTCTGGCGCTAATGTCAGCGTCTGGCGCTAATTTTGTTTTTTTCACGTCAAAACTCTGATTCGTTTTTCTATCTTTTTGGCCGATTTTCTCTATACATAGCCTCCTAAAAACTCCGTTTTCAATCATCTACAATCATCTCTAATCACCTATTCTCTAATTCTCTTCTCTCTCGAAGCTAAAGCTTTCTTTCTCTCTCTTTTCTAAACCCATATTTACACAAAATTATGCATCCACAAGACCTAGAAACACCTAGCATAATTCGAAGTTGCCTTCGCCCAAGACGTGAAAGGTTTGATATTTCTGAGGGTTTGGTCCCAAATCTCTATTTCAATTATTTAATTTAATTGTTTGATTTATTATTTTCGTTGAAGTTACTAACGCGTGTATTTTGTTATTAGAAAGAGATACGAGGCATCCAAGTAAGTGCTTTAATTGATTTATTGATATTATGATACATAAATCATGCCTAGGTTGTTATTATGATTCATGTGATGCTTCATATGTTTCTTTTCCTAATATCATGTTAGAGCTAAAGTTTTGATTTTTATATGTTTAGTGACATGCTAGGGTTTGTTATTAATCTTGTTAGTATCATGCCTAGGATCTTGCTATTAATATTATGCTTTAACATGATTATTTTAATTATGATTATTATTATAATTATGATTATTTTAAATATTATTATGATTATAATAGTTAATTATTATGTTGCTTGATATTTATTGTTATTGCTTGATCACACCTTTTATGCATGTTTAAAGGGAATTGGTACTTGTAATCACGCTTAATAGGATAATTAATAATCTTGTTTAAGGTTAATTTGATTATAACTCAAGTGATCGCCAATAATAGTTTTGTTTGTGCATTAATATTCAACCAACATAGATAAACAGGTTTAGGGGTAATCCTATTGATTTCATGTTAGTCAAAAAACGCACATGAATACAATCAGAATAAAGTAGAGGCCTATTATTAGGGCAGGTTCAATCTCTTTTAGGTTGGATTTGTACCTTCATCCCCGAACTACCATTCATGGTTCCAGACCTATTGGAGTTAACGATCTCCTGGATCGTTAAGGGGTGTAACCTTCACCTCGTGAACAGTTTACAAGTTCCTAAAACTTGTTGGCGACTCTTTTGCTCTATTTTCTTTCCCTTTGGACGCCACCGTACTTTAGTGTATGATCACAGTGGGGTTCAAGTTTGGGATAATGCTTGAAATATTCCCTACAATATGGTAACCTTCTCACCACTGTCATTGAAAGCTTTGGTGTTGATCTTTCAAAATTTGAACCACTGCCTCTCAAAACAAATGAATTTGTCCATCGCTCTTTCCTTGAAAATCGAGGCTTGCATGTGGTTTATGGATGTTTGGAGGAGATACCCTCTGAAATAGAAGTTAAAAAGGAGGCTCAAATTGAGGGGGAAGATGTTGAAGAAGGCAAACAGAAAGAGGGTGATAAAAAGGAAAACAAGAGAGAGAGGGAGAAGTCTGTTGAAGTAGAAGTGCAGGAAGTAGGAACCCAGGAGACAGGAGGGAAAAAGAGGAAAAGTCTAAGGCTGTCTAAAAAGAGTGCCCACAAAGAAATAGAACATGTTCACATTGACTTAGGGGAACAGGACATAGGGAAGGAGACTGTAGTTCCTACACCACTAGGATCTCCTCCTAAAACTACTCCTAAAGGAACAGAGTTCGAATAAATCAGTTCCCTAGCCATGCTCAATGAAGATGTTACAATTGAGCTTTAGGAATTGAAGAAAATGCTTAAGCAGGTCATCTCGCACCTTAAGAGTAATTCAGACAGGTTGGATTCTTTGGAAAGAGCTAGTTCAAGTTGTGCAAGTGATGCAAAGGCTTTTCTTCTCGAGGTTTCTCAAGCAAGAGATGCAGCAATCAAGTAGGTGGTGGAGAAGATTGCAGCAAAGCTTGATGATCTTACTACAGAAGTAGTCTGAACTAGTTTCCTGTCCCTTCAGCTTGTGATGATGATGACTTTGTTTTTATTTTGCTGATCTTGAACAATTCTATTTTGCTTTTGAGTCTGTAACTAAAACATGGATTACTTTTTTTTTTTTTGTGAACTTGTGAATTTGCTGCATTTTGGCCGATGTTTTAACATTGGTTTTGGATGGATGTTTTATTACTCTTTTGTGCATATTTTCTGCTTGGACTGTTTCTATGCTCTCTGCCTTATCATTTAAACCATGTTATGGTGTTGTGCTTGAGATAATTTGCTATATACATTGTGTTTTTGAAAATGCCAAAAGGGGGAAAGTACAGGAAAACTACCTACACACTTATCATCCATCTCTACTTCAAAGTTTTGTGACTCTCTGATTCTCAGTCAGGTATTAAAACTTTTCTTATTTCTTTTATCATTTATTTTGCTTTACAATAGTTTACTTGTCTTTTAATTTTATTTTTGCTCTAATGTTTTTGCCTAGTTTGTCATCATAAAAAAGGGGGAATATTGTTGCCCTTGATGTTTTGATGATAACACAAGACAAATAAAAGGACTAATGCCTTAATCAGTTTTGTAGTTTGTTTATAATAAAGTTGCAGGATTAATTCAAGGCAAAGGAACGGGCTAAAAGATTAAAAGACATGTTGCAGAGTTCCTGCGTAGGAACTGAAGCTTCAGAGCAGAAGCTAAGGAAAGAAGACTCAGAGCAGAGACTTCTTAGAGAAATTAAAGTCTAAAATATTTTTCATGTTTTAGGATTTATGAAAGTGAGATTAATTAAGAGTTGATGATGAGTAGTATGTGATTTGAATTTGTCAATTAGATAGAATTTCTTTGATTGCTAAAATAAAGGAAATATTGTTTTCAAAAATATCTTTTCTGTTCTTATCTTTAGTTAATATCTTTTTCAGGAAAAATATCTTTGAAAAGGTTAGAAAAACCAACTTCCTAAACTTACGCCAATACCTGTTGATTTAGTCTTCACGACCAACACAAGAAACTGCTTCTAAGAGGTTCAACGCACCCTGGTTTTTAGGACATGTTTGATGCTTTGGTAGTGGTGGAAAGTAGTGGCGTTAAGATGCAGCAATAGTGGTGTGAGTAGTGGAAATTGTGGCGTTTTAATCAAGTAATGTTTTTCTATATATATCGAAGTTGTTCTCTGGAAAACTTCACCTTGCTCAATCATATCTTTCTATCTTTCTTGTTTTCTAAAAGAGTCAAGAGTCGCATTCTACTTAAGAGTTAACTTTTTTAATTTCTTTCACTAAAGTATTATTCATTTGAGTTGTAATTGGGGAATTGGGAGTCTGAGTGAACTCAAAGAGAAGTCTGTAAAGAAAGAGAGAAACTAGAAGAGAGAAGAGAAGAGTGGCAAGTAATGGGACTTGCTGCTGGGAACTTGAAGTACGTAGAGGAACTTGAAGTTAGATCCTTTAGCTTGTAATAGGTTGTTTTCCCTATTATAGTGAAGAATCTTTCCTAAAATCCCTTGTGGTCGTGGTTTTTCCTTTTGTTAGGGCCAAGAGATTTTCCACGTAAAATCTCTCTGTGTTTCTTTAAAGTTCCTTTAGCTTAGTTTTATCAGTTCCGCGAAAAGTTAGATAAATTCTCCCAAACTAAAATTCACCCCCACTCTTGTAGTATTCCTCTAAAGTAACAGTACCTTTTGGTATTTTGAAAGTGGATGCTTAAGACACATGTCAAGTGATAAATGACAATTCCTCTCACTCACTGCCTTTGATGGAGGGAGTATGACTTTCAGAGACAACAACAAGGGAACAGTTTTTGGTATAGGTAAGGTTGGTAAGTCACTCTCTCAAAGTATTGATGATGTTTATTACGTTGTAGGCTTGCAACATAATCTCTAGAGTATATCTCAACTATGTGACAAGGTAATAGAGTTGAATTTCAACCAACCTTTGTCAAATATTTGAAAATAAGACTGGAACGGTTGTTTGTCTGGGAACCAGAAAGAATGACATTTATTTCCCTTAGTTGGATGATATTCATATGAACAAATCTATTTGTCTTAATGCTATTTAAGAGAAAGATCAGTGGCTATGCATAAAAGATTTGGACAACAAATTGAAATCTTAAAATCTGGTTGAAGGTTTGCCTAATATCAGTTATGAGATTGACAAAATTTGTTTAGAATGTGCAAAAGAAAAGCATGTTAGATCATCTTTCAAGCCAAAGTCACACATTAGCACTTCTTAACCACTGTAATTAATACATATTGATTTATGTGGTCCTATGAGAGTCATGAGTAGAAATGGTGCTAATGAAAGGGGATGTCGAATATACTTACTCTTATGTCTGTAATTATCTTCCCTTTGAAATGCTTGTCGATTGCATGCCAATCTTTTCCCCCAATAGGAAAATGTGACTCCATCTTCGCAATCATACTAATGAATTTAACCAAAATGTGTCCACCTTTCCTAATTGGCTGGCATAAATCATTAAATTCAACATATTACTATACGTCGTTATTACTCCACACGTCAATTGGCAGAATAATACCACTTACTAATGTAGTGCTACCCTTGGCATCTAAATAAAATAACAAAATTAAGTTAAAAGAAATAATCAGTTCAAAAAATTGTATGAAACATGGGATTATCGCAGTTCACTTTGATGAGCCCAACATTAGGACACTTCCACGAACGCACAACAGCAGGATCATAGGAAATAATAGGTGGCTTAAACACCTTGCACGCATAATCCCCATACTCCAAGACATTATTCATCGGACCAACAGCAACAAGAACAGGTAAGGGGGTTTCATTATAAAAAATAACCCTGTTACGACACCACCTCGCAGCCCACATCAACGCGGCCATCGTCAGAAGCTCTTTACTAGAAACTTTCGAAGCTAACCAAATAAAATAGGATGAAAAATCAGAGTTTGGGGCCTGAGCAACCAAAGCGTGAAAATCACTCACACTCTAAATCTGAACAGCAGCTCTACATTAAAAAAATTGTGTGGATAATGTGTTTATAAAGGGTATTATATCCAAACAATTCAAGACTATCTTCATTAAAACAAGAAAGTTCCATTCACAACAAAGCCAGAAAATTCAAAGCCTATAAAATTCATAACAAAAACACAAAAAAAAATTCGAAACTAAAACCCTAAGAACGCCATAAAATTCATAAAATAAAGGGTATTTTGATTTTTACCACCTTCAAATAACCAAATAATTGAATTTACCACCTCCAAAAAAAAAAGATTTACTTTACCACCTCATAAAAAAATTAAACATCAGTTTTACCACCAATCACCTCCAACTAACGGATTCCGTCCAAAAATCCGTTAGTGGGGCCTACCTTGCACACGTGTCGCCATATTATTGGTTAAGTTTTAAAAAAATAAATAAAAAAAAACAAAATAAAAAATAAAAAATTTGAAAAAAAAAAATTAAAAAAAATTTGAAAAAAAAAAAAAAGGCTACTGGCGCCTGGCCAGGACGCCACCGCTACGGTGGCGGCGCCTGGGCAAGACGCCGTAGCCACGGTGGCGGCGTCTTCAGTGGACGCCGCCACCGTGGCTACGGCGTCTTGCCCAGGCGCCGCCACCGTGGCGGTGGCGTCTTGGCCAGGCGCCGCCACCGTGGCGGCGGGCGATGTTTAGCGTTTCACGACCAGAAACAACCGCCACCCAGACGCGAAACCACCCCGACTCAAAACCACCACCACCCACCAGAAACCACGCCAGCCAAACGCGAAACCATCGCGACTCGAAACCACCACCACCCAGACGCGAAACCCACACGAAATTCCGACCAACCGAGGTAGTTGATTTCGTTGCTGGTTGGTTGACATGGAAGGTCGGGGAAGATGAAGAAGAAACGTCAAAAATGTGGGCCCTACTAACGGATTCATGGACGGAATCTGGTAGTTGGTGGTAAAATCGATTTTTTGGAAATTTTGGTGGTGGTAAAGTAAATCTTTTTTTTTTGGAGGTGGTAAATTCAATTATTTGGTTATTTAAAGGTGGTAAAAATCAAAATACCTAAAACCCATAAAAAAAAACTACTTTTTTTTTTTTTAAAAAAAAAAAGGGAAACATCAAAATTGTAAACAAAATTCACGAAAAAAGCCACAACATAAGAAATTAAATCATCTAATTAAGGGAATAAAATTACCTTGCAATAAGAGATCGATTCTTGTTCTACTCCAATTCAAAATCAAAGACATGCAAAGAATAATTCCCAAATTTAACAAAATTTAAAGAATTGTGAGATATTAGGGTACCAAAAATTGTAAAGCAAATTGTGAATCAATTACCTGAAATTTCTGAAAGTGAAGAGCAAAATCCCCCCAAATTCGTTGAAGTTTAGCAAGAAAACCCATAATTTACTCCGATCCGTATGTTGTAGCACTGAGCCGCTTATTCAGTAGAGAGCAAACTAGTTTATGAATGATTCAATAGTGGGCGGTTTAATTGGGAGTATTTCTTTATAATACAACCCGCTTTTTTTCATTAAATTTTAAAATTGCGGGCAACAGGGAGTCACGTGTATGACACGTGATTTTCTTGACGCTTTTATGTATCGAGACAAACCTTTGACACGTAAAAGTGTCGAGAAAAAGCAAAACTAAAAATTGTACACTGACACCACAGCCAAGGCGTCAAGGCAAAAGTGTCTAAAATATGCGGGTTTTGTAGTAGTGTAGTATCATGTTATTTATTAAAAAAAAAAAAAACAAAAAAAAAAAATCAAACAAAACAGGGTACCCTATGTCCCGAACCGAATAATTCAAGTACCCAACATATTCGGGTCGGGACATGGGACGAATTAACAATTACCCAAAACTCCGGGTTCCCGTATTTTCGGGTACCCAAAAACCCGGGTACCCGAATTTGAACACCCCTAGCACAAAGAATACAATATATTGTAAGTTTATATTGTAAGTTTATACAGGGCACAAAGAATACAAGCTTCATGGATTCAGATCAAAAAAAATATTCTTCCCTTCGATTTTTAACAAGTGGTGTAGTTATTCGTCCGTCTCCTGTATGAGGTAATTTTGTTATAACTTCTATTTAAAAGAACACTTTTGAAAAAAATACAATTAATTTTGTTTTTTTTTTTTTTTTTGAAAAAACACCAAAAAAAATAAAAATTGAGTAGCACTACCACATTTTGTTTTTCTGACAAGAATCTCTGTATTGGGCGTATTTTATGAAAATTTCTTCCAAAAACTCAAATTAAGTGACAATATAGGTCTACATTAACTGTAAATTAGGTAATACTCGTCGATCGTCCCAAATTCCTCAATTTTGCGAAACCATAAATTTAATTTTTTGCCTATGAACTCTAATTTTAATGTTCAATTGAGAAATTAATATGATTACAATACAAAATTAAAGAAAATTTACATATAATAGTGTTCGACTATCGAGTTCCCTTGTTTTCTCTACCGCAATTGATTGAAATCTTATAAAGTAAGCTCGTATAACCGGAGATTTTGGCTGAAGTAGTGCTACTCAAAGTTTTTGTGTTTTTGTGGTAGCTTTTTTTTTTTAAAAAAATAATAAAATTAAAAAAAAAAAAAATTTTAAAAATAATTAAATAGTAGTTGTTCTCAAAAGTAAACATTTAAATGGAAGTTATTGGCAAAATTTCCCCTATATGGTTTTTTCTAATTTATTTTTCTTATATGGTTTTTAGGGGGGAAAAAGTTTTTATTAACCTATTTTGCATATCTTCCTATAATAAATTGTAATCTTACCCTTCCCTACTAAGGTTTGATTCTCTTACACATTTGAAACATTAAATGTCAAGTTAATTTAACAAAATATTCCATGTTTCATTTTCTCAAATACTTCAATTTTGTTCAAGATATTTTAAACAATTTTAATTTTTTATTCTATTAATCATTTTTAATTTGTTAAATTTTTTTTGAGTAATTACAATAACCGTCCTTGGCCTAGCCTTCTCTCCCTTTCTTCTCTCTTCTAAATTCTAGCCTCCATTATTAATTTTCAAGGGACTTCCATCAAATTTCGTCGATGGAAAAGCCTCAATCTTTTTTTCTTTTAAGTATTTTATTTATTAGGTTATAATAATGTCTTTCTCGAAAGAGAGAGTTTATCTCCTTTGAAAGACAAGATTTTTTCAATCTATTCGAAAGACAAGATTTTCGAACTCCTTTGAAAGACAAGGTTTTATGAACTCCTTTATTTGCGTTTGATATGGTCTCTAGTTGTACAGGGCTACAATTTATTATTGCTTGGATCTAGGTTACAAAATCATCACTAGAAATTTCTTTCTCACAATATTATGAAGCGACGCCGAATCCACTTTAAAAAATTGCATAAAACAACGAATCGAGAATGTGTCGAATTGTTATATCTTTGTATTTAGATTCTTAGCCCATCTCTGGTTAATTCAGGTTTAATTTTGTTAAATCTATATTTATTATCATTAATTGTCAATTTTCAATGATGTATAAGTTTAATTATTAAAATATATATAGTTTCCTTTTCCTAACCTGAGCTTTCCCGACATAAATAAACTTGCTCCAAACTCGACACAACGTGAGCCTGAAATTGAACCCAAATCAAATTTGAATTGAACTAAACTCAACCTGCATATGAAAGGGTAAACAACTCAACATAACCCAAATAAAACTTGATCCACCGGAACTTGAATCCAAATTATTGGAGGTTGTTGGAACAAATGTAATATATTTGCTTATAAGTATTTCACTTGTTTATGTCGTTTGTAGTTAATTGACATAGTTTAAGTTAGAGGATTATACGCAACTAATTAAGATACTAGGGTGGCTAAAGCGCCCGATGCGCGCGCCATATCTAACTATGTCGGGGAGCCTTTTCACACATTAATGAGGGAAAATACATAGTCAAATATTTTAGCGGTACTGTAGGCGTCGTTTGAAATGCGCCTACGTTAGTATGTTGAATATGCTTGGCACTCTTAGGAAGTGAGAATTAACATATACGATTAGGGACAATGATTAGGGACAAGGAAAGTAGGGAGCCGCCAACAAGTTTTTAAGGAACTTGTAAACCGTTCACGGATCATAAAAGGCAACCACGATAAAGGGACAACAAAAGGCAACAACGATTGACCCGTAAAGGTTACACCCCATTCATAATCTATGAGATTAATAACTCCATATGGTTCGGAACCACAAAAGGAGGATCGGAGATCATGTTACGAAGTGATTCATGGAGTCACATTCCCCCGTATTAGCCTCTACTCGATTCTTATAGTGAAAAGCATTCCTGTGATCTCAAAGGCATACAAACAAAATATTCAATTTGCTCCAAACTATTGTTATGTTGAAATTGGTTGAATATTAATGCAACATATACTTCTAAAATATGCGTGATCACTTGATTATACAACAAGATTAAAAAGGAACCTAAATCGGTTGTCCAAATTATCTTATTAGTCGTGATTTTCAATTACATATTCCTTTTAAACATGCAATATGGTGATCAATAATAACAATAAAATTCAACATTAATATTGGAACAACAATAAATTATTAGTCAAATCGAATAATAATAACCTAATCATAATATTAGAAATATTAATATAAAATAAGTAATTAAATTAAGGGACTCACATTCTGCGTGATCCTTTAAATTGCTACATCATGAATAATAAATTGTTAGTAACTTCAATAAAAATATAAATCAAATTGAAATTAAATTAAATTAAATTAAAAGTAGAGTTGATTTGGTCCAAACCCTCAGTTAATTGTATCTTTCACGCCTTGGTTTAAGGACAAAACCTCGGGTCGACTGTGAACTCCTTGGAGTGCTTAGGGGAAGTATTATGAAATAATAGGGTGGCTAGTGTTTAGGCTAAAACAAGAGAGAAAGAGAGAAGAAAATGATAGTTGGTGTAGAGAGAAGGAGAGAATGATTTTTGGTGCCCTCGAACTGCAGAAAGGAGGGGGTATTTATAGAGGAAATGAGTCGGGGATTACACGGAACCCTAGTAAAAATAAAAACCTTAATTTAGGGCGCCGTGACACGACAATGGGTGCCGTGACACAGTACAGATTACCGTGTCGCGATGCGTAATTTTACCCTAAACTGTGAATATTGTACGGGGAGAGTACACATAAAAATCCCGTGGTCACAATATGTGTACCGTGACACGACAAAGGGCACCGCGACTCGCACAGTCCACCGTGGCGCGGCACGTGGCGCCGTGTCACGTTGTACAACCTACCCAAAATTGCGTCCAAGTTTAAAAATACACAAATAATGAACCGTGACACGGTGTAGATTACAGTGTCATGGAAATATGCACCGTCCACATCAGCTTTTGCCGCAACACGGCATTTTAGCTACTGCGAGGTTATTCCAGTTTTTTTATACGTTTTAAAAACTATGATAACTTTTTATCTGTAACTTGGAATAAGGTATATAATATATCGTTGGAAAGATTATCAAATCTTCTTTCCAACCCAATTAGAATCAGGTCAAAATCATTTGTAGATTGTAAGATATGACCGTTTTAGTGAAAGGATGTCGGTTTTGGGCCGAGTTTAATTAGTATTTTTTTTCATATCTTCTTCGTTTCAAATCGGAGTTGGGAATATGATATACCGTTAGAAAGCTCATTGAAAGGCCTATCTAATCAAATTACATTTGGATCAAAATTATATGGCCACAAAATCAGATTCTCTCATTTTTTGTGACGTGGACACGAAAAGTGGAAAATATGTTATGGTTTGGGGAAATGGGCTAGAAATTGGATTAGTTTATGAAATTTATTGGGAATGAATATGGATTTAAGCACTCCAAATATTGAATACTTAACCCAACCAATAATTGCGGTGAAAGCTTATTCATCATCGGGTTTTGTTTTCGGGAGACATTTTTAGGGGTGTACAGGTATGAATGTTCGCACACTATTCTGAATAGTTATATAAAAAAGTTGGGCAATGAACGATTAAACATTAATAAAGGAAAAAAATAAATTAATGTTAGTGATGGTAAAATAAATATTTGTACAATTAATGAGAGTAAACATGTAAATGCATATTTTGAAGGGTATAATTCTTATACTTTTTATAAGGTAGGTAGGGATAAACGTTAAGAGATTGACGTTGGAAGTCACATGACGTGCCTGCACAAGGTTTAGGTGGCGTTCCCATGCGTCCCTTTTTGTGATAGTTCTCTTTGTGGTTTGTTATAAATCTGTGTGGGTCTATAGTATAAACTCGTATGTGTCTATACGACTATACATGCTTAAAGTTTCGTAATTATATATTATCATTCTTTATTAATAATGAACGCACTTGATTAGTTATAACTAGCCTTTTTGCTCGTGACATGCACAGATTATGCATAGGAAAATTAAAAAAGAAAAATTGTTAACAATTTTTTGTCCCTTGAAAAATCAATGAATGTTTTTAAATATATTGTACTTTTTGCATGAGTGATTGATTAAATATCAATCAATTCAATAAAAGTTAATAAGTAGGGGAAGAAAATAACTTGTATGTGAATTGAATAGAGAAATAAATAATACAACTGGTGAAGAATGTTAAAGGGATTAAAATGTTGGAGATGAATGGGAACGATAGAGTGTTAAGACAAAAGGAATTATAAAATTTCTCTCATGAAAAAATTATAATAAAGTAAATTCAAATGGTGAAAGAGATGAGGACATGTGGTGTATATAGTTTGTGTTTTCATGTAATAGGTATATCAGTACAAAGAAAGCAGATTATTAATTTAAATCAAGGTCTTCATTATTCAACATAAAGCAATTGTTACTTATGTACTATTTGATTGAAAATTTAAGGGAAATTCTCTTTGGAAAACCTGTATTTTTAAAATTCTTAGTGGTAAATTGCAAAAAAAGTTATTATCCTTGGTAACTCCAATTAATTAAATTTAGTCATTGGTAACATTAATGATGGTAATTAGGGTTCTTCGTGGTCTCTGAAATCTTCACCGCAACCACTTGGGGGAACACAATTGCAGCGCACATTCTTCACCCAAGCAATCTGATCATCCATGGTGATTGGCTCAACCGAGGAAGATGAACGACTGTTCTTCATTGTCAGCATATAGAAATTAGGGGAAATCATGAAAATTAAGGTTTATATGAAAAAAGGAAATCGATTAGGGACATATAAGAAGGGGGAAATCGATTTGGAGATAAAGTCAGGCTTGTCATTAAGGAAAAATTAGGGTTAAATTTGT